TTTCTTTCAGTGGGAATTGAATTTTCTGCCCAAGATTGGAGCCTCTGTGAAAAAGTGGTAAACATTTTAAGTGTTTTTGAGGAGACAACAAAAATGTTGACAAAGTGTTGACTCTTGCATTGGTTCCAGTATTTCAGTTGTGACAACAATAACTGAAGCTTTAGAAACAACCTCTAGCGATATCAGTGTACAGGAGTTAAAAATTTTTATGAAAAATGGAAAAACGTTTTTTACCAGTTGAAAAAAAATTATTCAGTTGCTACTTTTTTTGATTCAAAAAATTTTTTACAAGATTTTGATTCAAAATACAAATTATATTTTTTTAGATATCAAGATGCTTTTCAAAATGCTAAACATGTTATCATGTCCAAGAAGGACAACTTTAAACCTCTAAATGAATTGGCTCCTGCTACTCAAATTCTGGCGACAATTAAAAAACGCATTGCTTGTTCATATAATATCAAAAATTATTGCGCAATCTCAAACTGAAACAGGACCAAATGCATGTTCACCTTCCAAAATAATAAAAGAAGCGTTGAATGAAGAATGAATGAATGATTTTTTGGATAGTGCAATGGCTTCTCAGTGCTTTAAGTTTTAGAAAAGCTATTAAAAAAATGAACTTGAAAAACTAAACAATTGGTATAAATCTAATAAATTATCATCAAACACAAAAAAAAAACTAAACCTTTTCGACTCCAACAAAAAAAAAGGACCTCTCACATTACCTTCGCTAAAAATAGAAAAAAATGAAATCATAAAGTTTCTTGTAATACTTATTGTAAGAACATATCATGGAAAGCGCACAAAAATATCGTATATAAAAAGATATTAAAAAACATCGATATGCCTTCTTTATTTTTCTTTTATACAAAGCGATTATATGAACGCTAACATTGCATGGGCAGGTACTCATAAATTCAAATTAGTCACACTTTATCAAAATCAAAAGTATGCTGCAAAAATAGTTTATAATAAAGATAAATTCTCACACGCTGAGCGACAAATTAACATATTTTACAGCTTTATTTTTATTCTAAAATACAATTTTGGACTTCTTCCACAAAATTTGTCAAAAAAATTTCTATTATATAAAAATAGATAAGAAATAGAGAAACTTTAAACTACCATTTAAAAAAACAAGTCTCTCTCGCTTCTCTATTTCATATCGTAAAACAAAGTAATATCCAAATTTACAAAATGGAATAACCTGAATTCCCTTAAAACATTATTAAAAAGTCTCATCTTAGGCACAAATGATTTTATGTACTCTTATTATTCAAAAAAATAAAATCGTAAAACCAATGAAAACTTTAAAAATCTTAAATATTATTTATAAATACAAAAAAAGAAGAAAATATATAAATTTATTTCTACAATTATCAAATTTATTTATAAAGGAATGGAGAGTGATTGTACACAACCGATGAGATTTCATCCATAAAAAAGAGTAATTAATATGATGGGCAGTTGAAATTTATATAGAATAATCTTTAATATATAACAAAACTTTAGACATAAAAATAATTTTGTATTGAAAGAAAAGCTTGAAAATATAAATTTTATAAAAAATTTGAATGGCATACTTTTAACCAATCATGAGGGTTAGAGTTCGCATATCAGAGGGTATGAGTGCGCAATAACAATGATCGCAAATAAATGACCCAGTTCCTTCATAACTATTGCATTTTTTATACCTCTAATTCTTGCAAAATCCGCTTTGAATCCATTCTTCATCCATTTGTCCTGCTTTTTCACAAGCTGGACAAATCGTTTCTTCATTTTCATAATTTTTAATATCTGTAACATTTTCACCATTTTTGGCTTTTTTTTTTAACATTATTAGCTTTATTAACGTCTTCAGAAAATTCTATTCTTTTTTTAGCTCGAACAGCTTTAACCTTTTTTTATTCTTAACTCGTATTTTCTATGTTTTTTAGCTTTTTTTATATGGAGACGACGTTATGACTGTTGAGTTGGTCTATTCTTTTTAGTTTGCTCTTCCATCTTTAATGGAAGAGAAACAATCGTATCAATATGACAAATTGTATCCATTTTTAATGGAAGAGAAACAGTTGTATCAATATGAACTTTTATGTTTCAATGAATTTTCATCTAATGCATTTTTATTTAATGTATTTTTATTTAATACAAATTTAATTATTAAAGAAACCATGCAACATCAAATTTCAAATTACATTATTTAAAAAGTGAATTTTTGTTGTATTAAATTTTTGCGGCTAAGAATGCGCATGATGCACACATGCAAAAGTATAGAAATCATATCTTGCCTGATATTTTAAAACACGGATAAGTAGTTAAATTAAACAACACACGTTCTTGTATTATTCAGATAGTCACACCAACACATGAAAATGACACTTGCTTGCAGTACCGCCAATAGTCGGAATTACATATGCGCACTCTTAACCGACCGCGCTTTCTTACCTTCCTTTCTATTACGTAAGTGAACGTCATATTTAACTTTTTACAATACTATAATGACCAACAATAAACTAAATAAAAATGAGTTATTAATTTCTTTTCAAACATTAAAATCAAACATAGGATTAAAAGCTGATGAAATAAGCAGTAATGTTGTAAAAAATCACCAATAACACCACAATAACAAACTTTCTTTAAAACAAGAAATATTTCCAGAAAATTTTAAAGCTGCAAGAGTTATACCGGTTTTTAAACCGGGTGATTCTTTTAATTTCTCTAATTATAGACCTATTTCCATTCTTCCTTGCTTCTCTAAAATTCTGGAACGAATAATGTATCATAGACTATTCTCTTTCCTTAAAAAACAAATAATAGTTTATATAACAAACAATTTAGCTTCAAAAAGAGTCATTCAACTGATCATGCTATTCTTAAAATTATTCATGATATTTTTTAAGCCTTTAATAAAAAAGAGTATACATTAGGTATTTTTATTTACCTTAGCAAAGCCTTTGACAGAGTTGACCACCATATTCTATTTAAAAAACTAGTAAATTACGGAGTTAAGAATGCAAATATAGTTTGGTTTAAAAACTACTTGTCTAATTAAAGCAGTATGATTCTTATGGTGGCGGTAAAACTGAAAATAAGACTTGTGGAGTTCCTCAAGGATCCAATTTAGGATCATTTTTGTTTTTAACATAAATTAACAACTCAAGCAGAGCTTCGAATATTTTAGATTTTATTTTGTTTGCTGACGATACCCATTTATTTTATTCCCGTAGTAATATAAATTTTTTATTTAAAACAGTCAACAAAGGGCTGTTAAAAGTAACTGAATGATTTAATACAAATAAATTGTCATTAATTTTAATCTAAACTAAGTATATATTTTTTCTTATCAAAGAGACGAAATTTCTCTAACGCTCCCAAATGTTAGTATTGGGAAACAATTTATAAATTGGATAATACTTGGATAAATCACATTAAATTAATCAAAAATAAAATTTTAAAATATAATTTGGCATACTATATTAGGTAAAACCTTACATAAATCAAATTTGCTTAAAATATATCTACTACTCTTTTATCCATTGTTATCTCAATTATGCTAAACATGCCATAAGAATAATATCCAACGCAGACCGTCTCTCTCATTCACAACCACTATTTATTATTCTAAAATTTTTAAATGTTTACCAAATAAACAAATATCATCATTTAATTTTTATGTACAAAATTAATAACGATGCAGTACAAATATCTCCCTAGAAATGCAAACTAATTATATTTATGCTAAAACTCGCTTGGAAGCAACTAAGTTTTCTATCTCATCCAGAGGCCCCCAATTATGGAGTATGATAACTAGAAGCAACATCAAAACGTTTTCAAACATAAATATTATAAAATCAAAACTAATAGAAATAATTTAACTTATCAGAACATGAAGGACTTCTTCTAGAGCTATATTTAATTTTTTGTCTTTAAAATATGTATAGTATAATTTCATTTTTTTTGCAAAGACTTAAAAAAATCGGTTCTTTAAAAAAATTTTATTTCTTATTTTATATTTTTTTATTACATGAAACTAAAAATTTTTTCTTAAAATTTTTAATTCTTTTGATTATATTACATAACTCAGAATTCTTGATCGTTATAATTGAAAACTGTTATATATAAATTTGAATATTTTTTTCGTTTGTTTGTTTTTTCTTTTAATATTAAAAAAGGTATGAAGTAGGAGTAAAACAGACGTGTGGCAGATGCCACCAGAGGTCCCCTTTTTTTGCTTCTGGTGGCGTCTGCCATACTTAATCGAACTAAAATCTCATTTCAGCTAAAGTTCGACTTAACGAGAGTTCGCTTTAGTCAAACATTCCTTAAGTCTAACCATTTTCCTTGGTCCCATAGAGGTTCGAGTTATCGGGAATTAACTATATTTTACGAAAATATCTTGATTCTTTAAACTGATGGCAATTACCTTAACAAGCTCGGTAATTTTAAAATAATTTGTAAATATTTGAATAATTTATAAATCTCCTTAACTAAATGAAGGCGATTTACAAACTGTTCAAATTCTTTTATTTGGAATTAGCATGATTTTATCAGCTCATTATGTCCAAACAAGAGCTTTAGATGTTAAAATTTTTTTGGTACAGGTTTTTTTAACATTTAAAGAAGTTTTTTTTTTAATATAATTTTCAAAACCTTTTGACTACCCCAAATAGTGAATCTAAAGAACGCAAAAAAAAAGTTGCTAATAAACGATCTAAACAGATCATATCATTAAACAATGATGTTCATTTTACTTAAAAAACGTGTTTATTTAAAACCTTATTCAAATTTAGACAAGCAATTATGATTTTAAGATTTAAAAAAAAAAAAAAGAATCTCTGGTCTGGGTTTTTCGCTACATATATTTATGGCCCCAAATTTAAAAATTTTCATTATTTTTTATGTCTTTTTATAATTCACAGACCTGTTCATTAAACGGAAAAATTTTGTAGTCAACAAAATAGCTATGATATTTTAAAATTGCCTTGACTACACCGAGA